TAGAGAATAGTGACAGCACTTAATAGCTATTTTAAACAGAAATTTCAACAGATTTTAATAGCTGCTACAAAAACATGATATCTATCAGTTGCCCTAGGTTCAGCGCAGAAAATGTACGAGGTTATATTCGGAGGGAGAAGACAAGTAAACTGAAAGAATGACATAGGTATTGTATTTATATGGCGAAACACAAGCTATGGACACATCATAAGAATGAAGAATTTCATGAAAACTATACGTGGGAATATAAAGAGGAAGGGGGAAAACACCACAAGATCACAAAATCAGCGACCCTCCACCGCCCGTTCAGCTGCCCCCATCCATAAAAAAGAGAAAAAAAATGGCGATACAAGACAAGAAATGGCAGGGGAGAAGGAAGTAAATTAAGTACATGCTCAAGTACAAGTTTGAATAGAAGTGAAGCCTGACTAAAGAGGAAAAATATGTCCAGGCAGGCTAGGGAAAATAAACCAGGGCGGAATTGAAGCAGAGAGAAGGGGGAAAGAAAAGCAAAAGATTCATCATATATTACGGTCGCCCAAGCTCGTGTTTTCCTACCTCTTTTAAAATTTAATCTCCCATCACATCATCGTCAATTTCGTCAGGGGGCGGAGTCAGTTCCAAATCTTCATCAGCTGTTCCCATGTGAGGGCCCTCGTCCTCCTCCTCCTCATCAACAAGCCCTCGTGCCACTAAGTCATCTTCCTCATCTTCTTCCGCCTGCGCCGCTTGCTCTTCCTCATCGTCGTCATCTTCAACCATCTCCGCAGACTTCATTTTCCCATTATTCTTCTTCGATGCAGCGCCAGAAGGTCCAGCCCCATTAACCCTAACCTTGTCCTTCGCTGACGCAACTCTCCGCCCCAGAGACTTCCCAACGTCAAGAAACGCCACAACTTCCTTGTAATTCTGTCCGAGACGGCTCTTGTTCCGTAGTAGCTTCTGTCTCAGCTTCCCACTTTGTCGCCCGGGACCATCGAGCACACCACCAACGATAGCAAGGACCATCTTGCCCGTGAGTTGGCATAATTTCTGCTCGGCTAACAACACACTCCGGACTCGATTGGCAGCCAATATCTCCCGTGTTTCCTCGTCAGCCTCGTCATCATCGTCGTCATCATCTGATGGACTACTATTGATATCTGACGGTGAGTCCATAGGCTCATCATCGTCCGCGACTTCGGCGGCCTCCAGCTTTCGTCGAGACTTTTTAGCGAATGTCCGTTCGGCCGTGTCGTGCATACGGGAAATTAGAGCTTGAGTCTCTGGACTGATTGATTGCACCAAGCTTTGGATTTGGAGAGCAACTTCATCATCTAGTGAAGGGATAGAGTTATCTGCTCCTGCTCCTGAATTACGAAGCGTCCCAAACACGGTTTGGAGGTCAAGTAGGGTTAGCGCGGTGGAGACTCTGAGCTCATCAAGGCCCGAGCGTCCTTGCATTATAGCTGTGAGGACTGCCACGAACGCATCTCGACGGGCAGCAAGCGAATCAAAAAATTCAGTATCGAAAGATGGGTCCCGTGATGATAGGGCAGTTCTTACGAACCGTACCTTCCACATAAAATAGACAAGAAGGGTTTTAAAAGTGTTGGTCGCAAGCTCCAATTCCAACCTCTCTATCTCCTCATCAGAGTCTTCTGCTCGAAGACCTCGTTTGCTTAAGTTGAGAATAATATCGACAGCGGCTTCCGTTGAGGCTTTTTGTTTCTTAGAGGAAGCACGGCACTCGGCTTCCAGGATGGAACTGCAGTCAGATACACTTGCGAGGTTCGAAATCCGCGTCACTGTATTGGACAAAGCAGTAAGAACACTAATGGAGAGAGCGGGCGATTCTTCCGTGCCTTTGGTTACGGATAGCGTACGTAAAGTTTCAATGGTGTCATCCCAGAGCTCCTGCACTTTGGATTCCATAGCTTCTCTAAGCTCGTCGGAAGTGCGTGCATGTAAGAAGGCCACTGTAGCTTCGGTAAGGACAGCCTGGTCCGAATGTGTCAAAAACTGCTTGTTGATATTGCCAATGAGGTCTGAATACGCAGCCGCATCCTTCTGAAGATCCTGGATCAAGTTGAGGTCGACTAAATGCTCTAGCCGTAGAATAGCAGAAGCAGCCTCAGGTGCTGACCCAAACTTATTCAGGAGTTGGGGGATGATCTGAGATAGACTGTGGGCAATAGATTCCTGTCGATCCTCCATCCTCTCTACCAACAATTTGGTCTTTCTACCCTTCTTATCTGTATCGGATTTGCCGATGTCCATGATATGTAGTTTCACTGCGCAGCTTAAGACTTCCAGCAAGATCCCCTCCTGGCCTTCACTTAATTTGTATAGCTTCTTTACTGTAGTAGTGGAATCTTCATCGTTCGAGGTCTCTGGGATCTGAGAGTGGTCATAAAGGAGGTACCCAGCCAAATGTTCCCATTGGTGGAGCTCCCCAAAATGAGAATATATAGATTCTGTCGCGAGGACGAATCTCGAATCAACGCGGCCATTAAGACTCATTCGTGATAATGAAATATCCTGCTCAGCCGGAACGGCGGGTTCCTGGCCATCATACACCTGAAGAACGTCCGCTAAACATTTGTATTTGATCCAAGAGGGGCGAGGTGTTTCGAAATTATCCTCGTCATCGTCATCGACAAACGCTTCGTGTAGCTCTTCCTCCATACTCTCAGTAAGAGTGTCGTAGACGTCCTGGATATTCTCCACGAAGAATCTACCAGCGGCTTTGCGCACGCGTGGCTCGCTATCGAAAACAAGTCGCCCAACGCCGTCGATATCATCCGGTTCAAGCAATCCAGCCTCCCGAATCAAATCCAACAACTCCACAACAGCACAGCGGACGCTGGGTTCGGCATCTCTAGTGGCCATCTCCACGATCCGCGGGCGGAATCGCTCCGTGAAAGCGCGGAGCCCGGCAATGTTATCCTTGTTCTGGTAGAGTCGATGGAGCTGGTTCACCACAACAGATCTCGTATGGGCAACTGTATCCGAAAGGACCCAACCCAAATATCGCAAATATTGGCCGTCGAAAAACATTTGTCTATATGTATTAACCCACCCTCCAAGTGCGTTGACGCACTCTGCTCGAATTTTTGGATCGACATCTCTGTAGCGATGAACGAAAACAGTATCAAAGCAGTCACCAAGCCAGCTGTCAATAACTTGCAGTTTTTTCTCCCCTTCTTGGACCTTGGATTGCATCGCATCAGCTCTGCCTTTATTCACTGACTTCTTCTTCTTCTCTGTATCCAATTGCTTTCGAGTATTCGACACGGTTAAGGATACTTCTCTAGCAACATTGCACAACGTCGTCACGATGGCTAGCGAAATTATCGTAGCGGTATGTCTGAAAGGTCGAATAGGGGCGGACGACATTGACGTTACCCAAACTTGGATGTTTTCAACAAGGGCAGAATCAGTGTATAGGACTGATGAGCTATGGATGGTTTGGATGAGAGAACTGAAAAAGCTGGTTAAGATGTATTGGAAGGACTTGAATTTTTTGATTTTCGAAATAAGGGGGTATTCGGTGATGCTCTGCGCTTGGTATTCTTCTTGGAGGTCATTTAAACGGTTCGCAACATTGTCAACGTCTTCAATATCGTGGTCGTCCACCTTCAAGTCCGTTCCAGTACACCTCAAGATAAAATTAACCAGATCGGTCATCCCCTTGATATTGTGCTGCTCGTACTTTGTAAGCCACTCTGCAGCGACAGCATCGGTAGTGTGACCTCGGGCAAAAACCTCAGCTAAAACAAAGAGCGTGTTAGTAAAAATTTTAAGGAATCGATCGAGCAATAGGGTTGAGCTATCCCTACCATAGAGGCCATCCTCATCCGCAAAATCACTCTGTCTTGCCCGCGGCTTTTTGGACCTAGATACCAGCTGAGCCCCATTGACAGCAGGGCGAATAGTAAGTTCAGTCGTGAGGCCATTGGTAATTCTTGGTTTCTTCGCCTTCCGCTTAGCGCCGGGCTTCTTGGATTGCTTGGGTCCTTTGGATGCATTATTCTTCTTCTTAGCAGCTGCCTTCTTTCGTGCCGCCTTCCTCCGTTCCTTAAGTTCTTCCTCATCAGGCGCATCATCCTCACTTTCGTCCTGGTCGTCTTCGTCTTCCTCTTCTTTTCCATCCTCAGCCCCACTCTCTTCCGCATCGGACGCGTCGTTATCATCCTCGTCCTTATCCCCGTCTTCCTGCTGAGCAGTACGCTTCCGCTTGGTTGTTCTACCGGCCTGCGACGGGCGACTCGAGCTGTAAGCAGCAAATGAAAAAGGTTCCGGTTTCCGTTTCACCCGCCCAGACCTCCTCCTACTACTCGCATTTGGGGGTGGTGAGTTGGCGCTCTCACTGGGCTCCGTAAGCGGACTCGAGTCACGCTCATCACCCTGAGCGGACACCTCCATTTTTTTATTCTATGCGACGGCAGAATGGCTTGTCTCTAGTCCAGAAATCAGTGGGGCTGATTGTTGTATTGCGCGTGGACTTTTTTGTTTCCGAGGATCAGGCCAGGACGCGACTTTGGGCAGAATCGAAGTGCGGCGAGCGGTAACGCGTTGGGTGGGGGTAGGGTCAACAGTGGGCGAGGAATAAGTCGTTATTCGTGGATAGGAGACACGACATTGATGGTAGACAGCGGTCCAAGTTGGGAAGATATCAAACCGAGCGTCGCGGGTCAATGTGAGGATTCAACTGTTCGCTTTTCTAGCAAACGCGACGACAGAGGATTGGCTGCTGCGACATTTCCCCTTTGGGACAGCCAGTACGGATGGCATGGCGCTAGTGTACGATATAGTATTTGTATCAAAATAATTTACCTAGGTTACAAGATTGCAACATTTGCACAGCCCAGCAGTGCGGTACCCTAGGCCAACTTGGAGGAACAAAGGTCCCAGCAGCGTCATACTTACGTCGTAAAACCAGAACACGGCTATTTTGGCGGTGTAATCATGGCCAAGTTACCCTCCGGCCGTACCAGCCCGTTTCGATGACCTAGGTTATATTCTGTACCTGTAACATTTTCTGCCAACTTCCAACATTCGGCCTCGACGACGAAGGCTAAAAAGCGGATTGACACCGGCCGCTCCAACAGCTTTCTCAATATTGGATTATTGATGAATGGCGATGGATCCCTTCTTTGATGTGCTCCACGATGAAAAGTCAAACGCGGTTACCGCCACATCGTCGCCTCCCTTGGGCTCTGTGTGTAGGATATAAATCGACTGAGGAATACTAAATAGTTTCAATATCTCGCTCTCAGATTAATTTAATCTTTTCCTATATATCCGATTGATAAACTAAGAACAAAGATGTACAAGACATTCACTACCCTTCCACCGAAGGAAACCATACGTTCACCAAATGTTCCAAAGACCCCCTTCGCTTCCCCCTTCGCAACAAACCACGCCGCTCCAGGCAAAGGGGAGGTTGTCCTCTCTGTACTCCCGCCTTGTGTTACAACCATCTCGCAGCTGTCTTATCAATACCCTCTAAAGATTCTTAACCGGACTCCCGCAACACCCCTCAATTCCAAATATCCGGAATGTGCATCCATCCCCGTCCATCTCTACCTGCTCACTTATGGCGGTGGGTTGCTTCCCGGTGACCACATCGATGTCTCGATCACCCTGCTACCGCGCACGAGATTGGTGATGACAACCCCGCAAGGAAGCACGAAGATATATAAGACAGAACGGACGAGGGCGTCGGACGGAGGCGGCCAGCCCGTCATCCAAAACCTCAGCGCCAACCAACAGTGGCATGCAGATGGCGATGCCAGAGGCGTTAATATTGAATATTTAGAGCGCGATAGAGACTCTTCACGATCCAAAAGTAGTCAGATACTGGATGTGAAACTGAGCAACCAGACCGGTCTCTGCTATATCCCTGACCCGTCACAGCCGTTCCAAGATAGCCAGTATGAGCAGCTACTGCGCTTCACGCTTCTACAGGACAAGCCTTCGGGGGACTCGAATGCCGAAAACAACTACGGACCAAGTCTTTGTGTCCTCGACTGGGTCAGCCAAGGCCGGTCAGCGCGTGGTGAAGACTGGAACTTCAACTCCTGGAAGGGGCGGAGCGAAGTCTGGTCCGAGGACCCGTCCACGGGCGAACGCAAACTGCTCCTCCGCGACACCGTCGTCCTGGAAGACGAAACAAGATACGTAGAGGATGAAGAGGGGAATTTAGTACCTCTTCCCAACCTGGATTTTCATCCAATACCACCACCGCAACCATCATCCGCATCCCAACTCCAACCACCCTACGACACCTCCCTCACCCCTTCACCCCTCTCTATCCAAGCACGCACACGCCCGCACGGGATCGTGGGAACCCTAATCCTCCACGGACCCCTCTTCGATTCCCTCGCCTCCTTCATGATGAAAGAATTCTCCTCATTACCACGTATTGGCGGGCGAAATTGGGCTGCATCGAATGCTGCTACTACTACGTCTACCGTCAGCGGCACAGCCTCCGAGCCGCCCCCCGTAACATGGACGGCGTCGCGCGTGCGATCAAATTTCGTTCTTGTGAAGTTTGGAGCGAAGGATTTTGAGAGCGCGAAAGAGTGGTTGGGGGAGTTGGTGAGGAGGGAAGGGAGCCTGGTGGGGGAGTTTGGGACGGAGGCAGTGGGTTGTTTGTAATTTTTTTTTTTTTTCGTCGAATGTTTCGACCATGCAAAAAGTGGCTATGCGGAGAATTATCCATCGCCTTCGTTTCTTCGTCTGTATATATTTCAAGCAGGCCTTGTTGCATAAACAGGATTAGCCAAAACCAGCGCGAGACGCAAGAAAATTAACACGTGGGCAACTATTTGCTCACATGTTCTATAGAACAATTCGGGTCATAACCAAAGACCAAAGCCCCCCTAGGTTGCACTTACAGTCGAAATGGGAAAACTCTATGCAAGTTAAGCGGTCATATATCCAATGTAGAGTTCATGAGGCCACCATCCCATGAAGCGCCAAACATGAGAGAACATAAAATCTAATCCAAGGTTGCATACCACTAGTATATAAGTACTAGGTAGGGGGAGCAAAATGAAGAGACCGATATCTCGCAGACCCACATTCCGGATATCAAAATCATAATGAACGAACCCAAACGCCCTCAACCCAGTTAATCAAAATCCAAAAAAGGAAAACAAAAGGAGCAGAAAATCCCCTATGTAGTACAAGTATAGCCAAGAGTTCGTCTATCCAGATCTAATAAGAGCGCGCACAAAATGCTCACAAGCATCCAAGAAAGCGAGGATTAAGGAACCAACGCAACCAAAACCAAACCCCCAACTATTTATTTGACATTCGTCATTGCAACAACGTACTCTCGCCCCAATCCATTTTCGCCGCGCTTCTCAAATCGTCGACGTTCAAAATATCCACGCCTTCCCTAATCAGCACAGTCCAGAGGTAATTCCGCAAGCTACGCGGCCAACTAGGAGTGGACCAGTAGCGCACTTTAAGACCACGTTGGTGTGCACCGCGCACCTGGGCTCTGAGCAGGTCTAGCTGGCTGTGGCTGAGGCGAAAACTCCAGGGGAATCCGATAGACTTTCTGAATGAGACGGAAGCATAGTAGCTGTTCTTGGGATTGTAGACATATGGGTTGGATCCTTCTTCGTTTCTGTGGACTCTAGTGGGAGAGGCGTCTACGGGTCGGGGCTCATATCGTTTTGGAGTTTTATTCTGTTGATTGCGGCGGGACCTAACGATATCCAACTCGTCGACTTCGAGCTCCTCATCGTCGAGAATGCCTAGGTTTGAGGATTGTTGCGCACTTCCTATGATCGCATCCTTCGCCAGCTTATCGAGTGGGGCGTCGAAAAAGACATCTCTATATGTATCATTGGCGGTAATGTTTTCAAAATGCGCTTTTCCTGTCGCAACTACTGTTACTGGGCCTTCGGTCACACTTGTTCCATTGAAATAAGTAAGATACCCCCGATCACGCAGTGGGGACAGTTGAGAAAGGAGATATGGCCAAGCATCGGCTCCTTTGTTCTTGAAATCGATGAGCAGGACGAGGGTCTGCGAGGGCTTTGTATCAAAAACACCATTTGGTGGTTTATTGGGATTCGGATGGAAATGAGCAATAGGGTTCTGCTTTTCTAAGATCTCAACAAGGGGGTCGATATACATCTTCGTCAAAGTCTTATCCGGAGCGAGAGACCCTGTGGTATGGCCCACGAAGAGATCGCCATCGAAGAGCCAGATGTCTGCCTCTACACTGATGCAGCCGGCCTCAAGGGCAGAAAACAATGGTACGGGCCGCCAATAGTCGTTGTGAGAATGGCAGGGGATAGGAATAACACCATCCGTGGTATCATTAGGCGCATGAGAAAGATACTCGCCTGGCTGGCCGGGTCGACCTGAGCGAGCAATAGCCCTCTCGATATCACTGGGGAAGAAGGATACGAAGGCCCCCAGGGTCAGAGCGACAAATTGGACCAGTCCTCTATTGTTGGTGCCAGTGTCAGCCATATTCAGTGCCTTTGTCCACTTTCGCCAGCGTCTGGTTCTCAACAGACGCATCAAGCGGGGTTCGTAACAGATAGGGAAAGAATAAATGTTTCTAGAGTGACCAAGGGATTAAATGATAGGGGAGATGTATGTATTTCACTAAACAAGCGGGAGGGGAAACACCAACAGCACAGTCAAACAGCCCACGATGCAATACAGCAGCAGGCGCCCCGTCCTCCGCCGCCCTTTCCTCGGCGATTTGGCGGATTTGCTACAACAAGCAAGGCAGGAAGCGTGCAGAGAACGGTTTCGCTTGTTCATTGAAGGCTTGTGTAGTTGCGGTGATGCATAGCCATCATCATCATCGTCGTCGTCGACGTCTTTATATTCATCTTCATCGTCACGATCATGGTACAGCTCCGAGCCTCTTTCCACCAGCTCGAGAGGCACGACGGCTTCCATCTTCCCGCCCGCCCTCCCGCCGTAGGAGGTCAAGCTCGAGTCGACAGTGGATGAAAGTGTAACAGTAGCCAGTAGTAGTGTCTAGGGTGATGATAATAGACAGTGGTAACGGCAGGATAATGGCATCAATAATCTCCACAGACTAGCGGCGAGAAAATAGATGCTAGGTCTCCTTTTCTATAATATATAAAACTCTCCAACAAATATAAAATATAGCCCTTGAACTCCGATATATCCCCCTCGAATCCCATAAACTTTCGGATTCTGATGAACTATCGTCCGACTCATTCTTTCACTGCCCAACTCAACTGCTGAGACACCTCGTTGCGCGACCACTAGCCCACTACAATTATTGCTATATTAAGAAAACTCAATTCTTGTTACATATATGGAATGGTTCAGCCCCTTAACTACCAGTATAGTCTGGGTAGCGATCAAGCTCTCTTGCCCCAGTGTTTTCTGCATATTACTATTTTAAAACTTTTCCTATGTACTAATAATACTGAGAGCTGCAGAATTCCTTCCTTGTTACGGCAGCTTATATAACTATGGCCTATAAATTAATCTGAATAGTGACATAACTGACATTTGAGTCAAATGGATTTTTTGGTGGAAAAGCTTAATTCCACGTAGTAACTTACTCATTATAGACAACACGCTAATTAGTTACACTAGTTTTAATGCAGTTAGCATATTATTATATATGAGTTAGTCAGTCTTGGCTTTCAGACTCACAGATCCCGCAACATTCTCAGCTAGAAACCCCCCCTGGAGATAGAGTCTCTTAGAGTATAGAAGCTCCTTGGGTAAAGAGATCCCCGGGTATAGAGACTCTCAGGTATAGATATCTCTGAGTATAGAGGCCCCCAGATGTAGAAACCCCCAAGTATAGAGGCTCTCAGAAGATCAGGCTGCAGGTATGATCTTCATTACTCACTCACTATACATGTGATTCTTCTCCCAGAACCCAGACTGGTCATCTTCATGATGAGATCTCAGAATCATTTGTCAATATTATCTCACATGAAGAACAGTTTTCTTGAGTTTTCTAATGAGAACTTCTTGATCACATTCAGAACAAGGTCTTATCACTGTGCAGCATCATAATTCAAATGCTTCATAATTCAAATACTTAATAAGACTTATCAGCTCTAAGCTATTCTCAAAATGTAAGAGCAGTGGCTTGCAACTAATCTTTCCTTCTTCTCTTCAGTCAATTTTTCTAAATCATTGTGAAAAATAATCTGCTGAAACATCATAATGATCATATATATACACTTTAAAGACAAAAGATCATTAACAAATTCAAGCTCTGAACAGATTGATATATACTTATAATAAGACTGAAAGAAAACATATTGAATGAGTAATTAATCTAAGCAGCAGTGTGAAACTCAGAGCTATATCACATGAGATTTTCTAGTTAAGTTTCACAGACCTTTAAGCTCAGTGAAATCATTGATCTCATCCAAGATCACTGATCTGAACTTGATTTACTCTGATAGAATCATCAGCCTAATGACTCTCAGTGCTTCATCTCACCTGCAAACCTCCTGGTTGGTTAGATATGTAACTCAGCACCTGAACCGAATTCGGGTCGTCATGAAAAGCTCCCACGCAGTGGCCTTTGCTGTTCAAGTAACAACAATCCATCGCTGCTAGTTATCATTTAGCTAGGCGCTAAGTACGGAAGATAGCGGGGGTAGTTTGGCGCCGAGCGCCGCCAAGAGTTTAGCCCAATTTGTTGCACCGACTCCGATAGCTAGAAACTATATAAAACTACTCTAGAAATTTTTTAATTTAGTGATTCTACTTGGTAATAGTTTTATCGAATATTAATCTTAAGTAGAAGAAGGATCAGTGATGCTGCCGTGATATTATAATACCAGTTATATAGATCAGATAATATGATTATAAGATGAAGCTTCTCTTATTCATTGATATGTAGTAAAAGGATGACATACGATCTGATGGATCTGATCTGTGAAGGCCCCTTAGCACGGCCGCCCAGGGCCCGTAACAATATGAAAGACTCCCTACTCCTCTTCCATGGAACAACAACAGCAAATCTGAACAGGAGCGCGCGTGGCTAATAAAACACCGCCCTCATTTCGCCTCTCCTGGTGCTTTCTTGGACCACTCGGGAAGCCCATTCTTCTTACGGCTCGATGCGGCTTGGATCTCCTTGTATCTGGGACATTCAGACGGACTCTTGCCAGCGGGCTTTCGCTCACATTCCGTGATGTTGGACGTCGTAACTGTTTGACCAGCGGTTATGCTGATGGTGATATAGTTGATACACATAGTGCCTGGCGTGCGTGGTTGGTGGAATAGATTCTCTCTCGTCCAGTTGACAACCTGAGGTATGCTCTCGGGAGGATTGTTTTAGAAGGAAGATGCTTCTTTTCTGTTGGTCCGTCTTCCAAATAGCGACGGGTTAGTAAGGGGTCATGTCTTTCCGGAAAAGACAGAGTACTCACATCTTCGTTTCAAGTGGATGAGGATGAACTAGTCGTTAAGAAAGTATTTGAAGAATTTATCTTGCAAAGAGCCTTGTAGTAAAGGTAAACACAGGAGGTCACGGACTCGAATGTGTACCATGATAGATATTGAACTGAAGAGGCTGAGAGAGATGTTATGTATCAGTTATGACGAGTGCAGAAATGCGGTCAGTAAGACAGAGGTCTTGTCTTTTAAACAATTTGAATTGAGACAACAATGATGCAGCTTCAGTTATAGCAAAGAGCATAAAAAGTCCATGCAAATACTGCTCTCATGCAAACAGTGATTCTCTATATCACAGCCATTAACATTTAAGATGTTTTGGGGCTAAGATATCAAGACAGTTTTCGCAAACATGCTGCAGAGATTGCAGAAGTTGCTAGCAGCATCAAGATTCCGGAAATACATTCTGTAAACAGCTTAAATTGAAGTCGCCAGGTGTTTATCCATACATCCTTCTTGTTGTCTTCTAAGCCTGGGTAAAGCAGGAGCTGAAATTTCAGTATCAGTGATATCGATGGCCAAGAATAGCGAGCTTCTTTCTGAGAGCATATTGCGCCCCAATCAATTTGGGAAGTAAAAGCAAACCATTTCAGCCCAAATAGCTATGGGCCTGAAAACTGGAAGATGGAAAGTTTGAGAGCAATAACATATCAAAATAATCGATATCATAAGAAATTCACTAGGCTATATATATATCTATATAGCATTCACATAATATAACCAGTAAAATATCCTTTTACTCGGATGACCCTGAGCAAGAGGAAGAGTTTTCATGCTTGGTGACAGACGACGGAAGTGTAACTTCTGCAAACTGGATATTGGTGGTTAGACCCAAACAGACTGCCCAATCAGGAAAGTTGTATCGATTTATAAAATACACGTATCTAAGATGGTATCTAAATTACCAAAAATACCACGCCGATGTTTTTTTCTCTGCGATAATTATACATGATTCTTCTCAACTTCAACGAGGTAGAGACAGCTATATATTGCGGAGAGGAAGGACACCAAACAACAATGCCTCACAAGCACAAGCGGCGGCGTAAGGATGACTCGTAAGTACCCCAGCTAGTCAGGGAATTACCCCCCATTTCTATGCAGTCTTCCAGTCTAATTCAAGCGCGATTAATACTCATAGCGAGCACTTCGACCTTCCACCGACGAAAATCGCAAAGCCTCTCCCAGCAAAATCCAGAGATGCAGACAACAAAGAATCCTCCAACAACAAAAAACGCAAGTCGAAAAAGTCCGCCCAGGACGCCTTCAAGGATGACACCCCCAAAGCCTTTCTGCGCATGATGAACCAGTTCCAAAAAGCTACTTCTGGAACGGGTCCACGCACACGACCAAGTATAGAAGATGACGGAACAAAGCCTAGCAAAAAGCGGAGAAGGGGAGAACAGGAAGGCGGCTCGAGTATTGCCAAGGAAACGGGGATGACATCGAAGGGGGTGGGCAATAGTACAAAATCCAACTCTGTACCACAGCCTCCAGTTCCTCCCCCGCCACTCTCGACTATCCCTAAAATCCTCCCCGGCGAACGCATGGCCGATTTCTCCGCGCGAGTCAACCAAGCCCTCCCCCTCTCCGGCATCTCGAGGAAATCGGGCTCATCAAGCATAAGCAAAGATCCCGCGCTAAAGAACCTGCGAGAACATAGACAGACGAAACACGAGAGGCGGCTTCTACGGCTACAGCGGGGATGGAGGGAGGAGGAAGCGCGGATTAGAGAGCGGGAAGAGGCTGAGCGTGAAGAAAGGGAGGCGGAGGAGGAAGAGGTCAATGAGCAGTGGAAGGCGTGGGAGGCCGAAGCTGGATTGACGAAGAAAACGAAGACTTCTAAGAATAAGAAGAAAAAGAAGAAAAAGAAGAGTGGGAAAAGCAGTGGTGCATCGGGTGGCGATGGCAGTGATGCTAACGCCGTCACCGACAATGACGATGACGATGATCCGTGGGCTAAGCTTAATCGCAAAGCGAAGGCTATGCAACCTGCTAACCCACTTGAGGTTGTGCAAGCGCCTCCTGAGCAGTTGACGAAGCCGAAGGAGAAGTTCAAGGTGAGAGGGATGGGTGGTGCAAGGGTCAATGTTGCCAATGTTCCTTCAGCAGCGGGGAGTTTGCGGGCCAGGGAGGAGCTGGCAGAGCAGAGGCAGAGTATTGTAGATGAGTATAGGAGGATCATGGCAGAGAAGAGAAGAGGATAGAAATACCTTTTTGTTTCACGCACTGGTATTGTGTGGTCATTTGTTAAATTTAATGGGCTATGCCAAACCACATTGTTATTGATTAGAACATGGCTGGCTTCATTGCCAGCGGCAGATTTTGCAAAACCTTGAACAGTCAGGGTTGTAATATTGCATATTTATATGCACGTGAAAGATTTTCTATATAGAAGAAACGCCTTGAAATGCGAAAACAGAGCTAACTTTTTTAAAATACTATTGGAATCTCCATCCCCTGAGATCCGAATATACATAGGTATCACAAGCGACAAATGTAGAAAGAAAAGATCAAGTTCAACTCATCAACTCTCACCACTATATGCCCATCCAACCCCAACCTATCCCTCCTTAACAGCCTTCACATACTCAGCAGCCCTGGCCTTAACCTCATCCACCATCTTCTCATTCCCATCACCAGCCTTCTCCTCAAATGTGAGCCACTTCTTGAAAAAGAACTTGGCCTGCTTATCCTTCAACTTCTTCGACACAGTCTTAGTCCCATCCGCCGCAATGCCATGACCCAGACCCAGAACTCTTTCAAATAGCCTCCTCACCTGCTCCACCTCACCGCTCTTGATTTCCAGGTCAAGAAGCACATTCCACAGGTCAACGCGCTTGGGGAACGAAGAAAGGAGACCTTCAAATATCGTTCGTCCACGTTCAATGTCTCCGTTTGGAGAGCGGAATTCCAGCTGGCCAAATTTGGACGTGATGTCGACGTGAGTGTGGGCAGGGAGAGCCTGGATGGCGCGCGGGAGGAGTGCGCGTGCCCGCTCAGGTTCAGCAAGAGTGTCGAAGAGGAAGGTAGCGAAGTTGAGGTAGATGTTTGGCGATT